CTACTGGCATCTAGCGGGTAGATGCCAGGGATGCTGCTAAACATCCAACAATGCAAAAGATAACTGCCCACAAGAAAGAAATAGCCAGCTCCAAATATCAGTAGTGCTGCTATTGAGAAACCCTGCTCCAAATGCTTGGAAAAAATATTTTACATCATCTGTGATCAGTACTCACCATGCTATCACCCTCATGTCACTCCTGAATTTTACTTTTAAAATTCATCAGCTGATCTTCCTACAAATCATTCCCAAGAAGCAGATTAAGAGTAATCATGGCATTTACTGAGTTCTTACTGTGTGCCAGGTTCTGGAAAAAGGACTTTACATACTTTATCTCACTTATTGTCACCATTTTCAGAAGAGAAAACTGAGGCTCAGGACAATTAAGTAAACTGCAGATTATCAATACATGAAACTTAAAGTCACTGAGGTGGGAATCAACCCAGAACTCAAGTTTCTGCTCTTTAAACTCAATGCCTTTCTAAGGAAACCAACGATGTCTATTCAATTTATTGAACAATTGCTTTATACTCAGAATTCTCTTTTTATTTTATTTTATTTTTTTATTTTTGGCTGTGATGGGTCTTCGTTGCTGCACACGGTCTTTCTCTAGTTGTGGCGAGCGGGGGCTACTCTTCCTTGCGGTGCTCGAGCTTCTCACTGTGGTGGCCTCTCTTATTGCGGAGCACAGGGCCTAGGCAGGGAGGCTTCGGTAGTTGTGGCTCATGGGCTCAGTAGTTGTGGCTTGTGGGCTCTAGAGTGTAGGCTCAGTAGCTGTGGTACACGGACTTAGTTGCTCCACGGCATGTGGGATCTTCCCAGACCAGGGATCGAACCCATGTCCCCTGCATTGGCAGGCAGATTCTTAACCACTGTGCCACCAGGGAAGCCCTAGAGTTCTCTTTCTCATCCTGAGAATTTTTCATCTTCTGACAAAGAGTATTTGTTAAATAAATAAAACTTTGTAATTATGGTCATCCATCACTTGGAGCAAACTTGATAGATGGATTTAAAAACACATGTATTTGTAAAACTCCCTTCTTTCCAAAAAGAAGAAAAGCTGTGTCTTTTATATATTTTGTTTCAAATTTAAAGAATCTCTTCATTTTTGAAACTTCCAGACTAATGCATATAATGCTTTAAGTGGCAGAACCAGGTAAGACTACAAGGACAATTGCTCTATCTTGAGGTGTCCCTATTTAAAAGAAAGAAAGAAAGAAAAAAGCAGCATTTTGTAACACAACAGCGTATTGAATTTTTTTATTCTTGTGTCTGTCTCCTTCATTGTCCTGTGTATTAGTTTTCTACTGCTGCATAACAAATTAAAACAAATTTAGCAACTTAAGACAACACCCATTAATTAGCTCACAGTTCTGTAAGTCAGAATTTCTAGCACAGCCACAGCATAACTGAGTTCTCTGCTCAGGGTTCCCAAGGCTGAAATCATGCTGTCAGTCAGGCTGAGCTCTTCTCTGGAGGCTCTGCAGAAAATTCACTTTCAAGCTCACTGAGGTCGTTGTAGTTGTAAGACTCAAGTCTCATTTCCTTGCTGGCTGGTGGTCAGGGGTTGCTCTGAGCTCCTAGAATCCTCTCCAGGAGAGCAGCCCCCTCCATCATCAAAGTCATTAGTGGAGAATCTCACTGACGATGAATCTACTTCATGCTTTGAATCTCCAAGAAAAGCCCAATCCCTTGTAAGGGCTCACGTGATGACATCAGGCCCACCAAGGACAATCTCCCTCTCTGGAAGTCAACTGATTTGAGACCTTAGTTACATCAGCAAAATCCCTCACAGCAGTGCCTAGATTAGTGGTTGTTTGAATAATTGGGAGAACATCTGTGTATACCAGGAATCTTGGTGTACACAGGAATCTTGAAGGTCATCTTAGAATCCTCCCTAGTTCAGTCTGTAAATTCCTCGATGGCAAAAACTGGGCCTTGTGCATCTTTGTCTGGTACTCAATAGATACTCCAGGAATGTTCACTGAACTGAACTGTTTTAAAGGGATCTGGAAATTACGAAGTCATGAAATTGTTACACATGAGCATTAACTTCCAGGTAAGGACAAGTCCCATCAGGAAAAAGATCAGATAGGATGCAGTGCCCAGGATGCCTTTCGGCTGATCACTATCGTGACCTCTTCCTCTACCAAAAGATTAACTGGATTTTCTACTTTCACTATGGGAATACAGCTTTGATTTTATTAAGGGAAGTCAAGAGAAAAAGAATTCCTATCCCAGAGATGTGCAAGAAAAACAACTTTCCAGAATCGCATCTATTCTATCGAGGAAGTGGTGTGTTCAATGGGTTTGTGGTCTCATGAGCTTCCCTTCCTTAGTCTGCCAGCTCTTTGAGGGTGGGACTACATATTATTCATATTTACATCCCTAAGGAAAGCACAGTGCCTGGTTCAGAAGACAAACTTTAAAGATAAAAGCTGATTAAATGTTTGTAGAATGAATGCTATTTAGCCTGTCTCTGCTAGTAGTCATTCACTTCCTGCCGGCCAGGGCTTTGTCCAACGCATTTTCTGCAAGCCAGCAATGCCTGTCTGGTCCCCGGCAGCCAGTGAGCATTCAACAGGTGCACTCTTTGGGCCTTGTACTCCTGTTTTAAAATGTATTTTCTTCTCTCCCAAATTAGCAGTTGATCATTTTAGGTTATACAATATGAATTGAAGGTGACTACTATTCAAGCTAGTCTTATAAGGCTTATTTCTAAGAAATATTCAGCTTTATGTTAACACACACACAAACCCCCCAAATCCCAAAACTTTCATCTTCCTTTCCAAATGGACATTCATTTCAGTGTCTAGTAAATGTATTTATGGGAAACATTTCTTTACGTTGATCAGAGAACAGAGCTGTGATTTCTGAAAAAGAAAAGCTGTTTCCCTTAGGTTTTCTCAGCTCCTCCATTGCTAGCCTCAGACAAGGTACACGTTATCTGCGATTCTGTGAGCTTTCCTGCATTTCAGTCGCATTGGAGAAAACGCTTTCCCGGCCTTCCAACGGCAGAAAAACGGGATCCACATAACTCCACTTCACTGCAACCTGGGAGCCGCGGATTTCGGGCCCGCGCTGTGACGTCACCGGGCTCGCAGGCCGCGGCGCTGGCCTCAGGCTCGGCTGATTGGCTGGGGCCCATGACGTCACGGGCCGGGGCGGCCCTGGGTTCGGGAGGGCCCAGCTATGATCCGGGTTAGTTTTTGAAAAGGGCGGGGTGGGGGGCGGGCTGTGAAACAGAGGAGCTCGCGGAGCGCCTGGTCCCTCCCGCCGCGCCGGGTCCCGCCCGGTCGCGCCCACAGCCAACCTCGCCCCTCCGCCGCGCCAGCCTCGGTGGCGGCCTGAAAGGGGGCGGGCGGAGAGGCGGAGCGGGGAGGAGCCGGGCGCGGCGCCGCGCTGTCCCTGGTCGCCGCCCACCCCGTTACACACAGCATGTAAACAGTCCCCGCCGGGAGGAGCCCCGGGACTGGAGGGACCCGCGTCGCCCGGCCCCGCCGCCTGCCCGAGAGCCCACAGAGCCGCGCGCTGCCCGCCCGGGAGGAGGGCGCCCGAGGAGAGGAGGGCGGGGGGCGAAGGGAGCGGGAGGCGGGCGGCGCGTGAGGAGGCTGAGGGAGCAGCGGGCGCGGCGGGCCAGGATGGATTTCCAGCAGCTGGCTGACGTTGCGGAGAAATGGTGTTCCAACACGCCCTTCGAGCTCATCGCCACCGAGGAGACCGAGCGCAGGATGGATTTCTACGCCGACCCCGGCGTCTCCTTCTACGTGCTGTGTCCGGACAACGGCTGCGGGGACAATTTTGTGAGTGCCTGGGGGAGGGACCGCCGCAGCGCGCGGGAGTGTGGACTCGCAGCCGCTTCCCTGCGCCCGAGCTCCCTCGCCGCGAGGCGGTGGGGCGGGAGGTGGGGGGGCGTAACCGGCTGACCGCGGCGCACCCAGCTGCTCCGCGCTCCGCCGGGGGAGCGCTCGGGCCCGGCCCGTTGGGGTCAGCGCTCCGGGTGCGTCCGGTAGGCGGCAGGCAGGGGCGTCCTTAGGATCCGGGGAGCCGGGCTAGAGAGGGCTGGTTCCGGGACGCGACCCCACGGCTCGAGCGCTGTGCTCGGCTTGGTGCATCTCCGGGGGTGTCTCAGCCTCGCACCAGTGCGGGACAGGGCGCGCGGACCGGGGCGCACGGGCCCTCCCCTCCCACAGGATCCTGAGTCGGGAGCTTCCTACACCCAGGCGTCCCGCCCGGGTGAGGAACCCCGTTACCCTCTAAATGCGCAGACACAACTCCTCGAGTTGCCCCCGCCGGGGAGAACCCGCTCCCGTCCCCCTCCCCCATGTTATTCTCAGCGGTGTTTGGACACAAAGCCTCCGTCCACACAAGCGATGCCCCATCTCCTGCACCTTCTTTGCGGAATTACACCTCGGATCTTAAAAACGCACTCGCGCGTGCGCATACACACACAAACACACAGGCACGCCTATCCCCCTTTCCTCTCGTGCTTCCATTGCTTCTCTGTGAGCTTCCAACGAGGTGTGTGGAGCCCGAGAGGTTCTGTCCAGCTGAGGCGGCGGTCTCGGCCCTGCCAAAGCCCGTCGGTTTTTCCAGAAGAGGGGGAATTCCCCCTCCCCACCCCACTCCCCGCCCTGCCCCAGGCTCGGAGGTACCGGGACCTGGAACTGCGGTGTCCAAAACCTCGACTTTGCATCCTGCGCCCACCTGGGATCTTGGCGCTGGTAGTTTAGGAAGGGGATGTAGAGGGCCGGGAGTTGGGCTGGGAGGTGCAGAGACTGGGCGAGGATGGCGCTTCATGAAGTGTTTGGTAAGGACGAGGAAAAAATAATGGTCCCCAAATGTAAGATGGAGGCGGCTATGGGCTCAGGTTACCGGCCTGAGTCGCTGGCCTGAGCCTGGAGCTGGCGCTGCTGCCGCCCCTGCGGACGGAGGTGGGGCAGCGCCTCAGCGAGGCCTGGCGCTGGCTCCTCAGGTGGGGTGAGACAAAGCTGGGCCGAGGTCCAAGCTGTCGCGCGCCCCTACCACCCACGGGAAGTTCGAGGAGTTACAGAGACAGCAAGATTGTCTCTCTTGGCCCCAGAGAGATGAAAGCTTCTGTATGACTTGTCGATAAAGCATGCCCCTCCCACCACCTCCACCCAACCCCGCAAAGGTGAACGACCCACCTGGCCCCAGCCGTGCCACACTCTAGAAAAGGGATGGCATTGGGGGATAGCCAGATTTGAGTTCTGGCTGTGTGACTCCGGTCAAATGCATTTTAATGTTTTCAGATACTCAGTGTACACATCCAAAAAATGGGTATAATACCACCCCCCAGGTGATCAAATAGATAAAGCACCTAATAGTCTCCACTGCACAGCAAGGGCCCCACAAATTTGGGTCAGATATCTGGGGTTCCAGAGTTTAGAACTTGTCTCTTTTTAAAGAGCCTCAATTTCTCACCTGTAAAATGAGGTTAATCAGAATGCCTCCATCATAGGTACTTGTGAAGAGCAAGTAAACTATAAATGTATGTAAGAACACTATTAACTAGTTAAAATAAGTAAATTAGTGTTGTCAGTGGGAGGTCATTAAAAAGGGATTTACTCCTTTGTAAAAGTAAGCTCCAGGGATATAGTGGAAAGGGCATCAGGGTCCAAGTAACTGCAGTGTTAGGGTTTGATTAGGAGTCCCTTCTAGCCCTGGGCTTCCTTGGGTTTGATTAGGAGTCCCTTCTAGCCCTTGGGCTGCCAGTGACCTTTCCCCCTCTTTATTGCTCGAGGTGGGACAAGAATCACTCATGGTTCCGGATTTTATGGGGGAGAGTTCCACACAGCCTTCCTGCTGGCACTGCAGGAGACATAAGGCTGTTCTCTTGCCTTGAATATGTTTATCAAACCATCATTCAGAAACATTAAGTGTATCAGGCCTTTTTCAAGGCCACCCATATTATATTTTAAATGTTTTCCCACCTGTATGAGTAAAGTGCTTGAAAGTATTTCTTTTGAAAGTATTCATTCACTGACAATTAAATGAAATAGATAGGGAAGAAAGATAATGGTGGGCGTGGGGGGGGGAGTAATTCATTGGGTAGACTGGAACTTTTTCAGTTTCTAGAGGCCATAATGGACAAGATGCCAACCGCTGGAGTTTTCTTCGCCCAAAACATCTCCTCTAATCTGTCCCAGGCCAGATTTGTCAAGTGCTGTTTACCTCTAGCTAAGGGAACTCAGACATGAAGTAAATGTCCTACCTCTGTTCTTTTCCTTTCCCCAGGAAAATCTGCTAAACATTAGAAGAAATTTGAGATGAAGGGAATGTAATCTGAAGGATTTGTTAACAATAAGAATATTTACATAGCAATTCTCAATTTACAGAGTGTCTTTATATCATTCATTCATTCATTCAACAGACATTTATTGAGGGCTCACTCTGCACTTGGCCAGGGCTACCTAGAATGGGGCCATTCTATTCATCTAAGAAGCAGTGTTGTATAATGGTTAGGGGCACAGGCTCTGGGGTCAGGCTACTCGAGTTTGCACCCCAGCTCCCCACATCTAACTTTGAGCCTTGGGGGAAGTTACTTAACCCCTCTCTGACATGATTTCCACATCTGTAAAATAGGGATGATATTAATACCTCCCTAGCAGACTTGTTTGGGAAAAGTGCCTAAAGTGGGGGTGATGATATTAGTGGCTCTGGCAGGGTCTCTGCACAGCAGTCCCTCTGGATCTATTTAAAATATAATCCAAGTCATGTTCTCACCACTCCCTACCTCTCCTAAACTGACTTCCCATTATTGCAATAAAACCTAAGCTTTCTTGGCTTCAAGTCCCCACATGATTTGTCTCCTGCCACCTCTATGACCTCATCCTGGACCATTCTTCCCCCTTGCTTACTGTGTTCCTGCCACACTGGCCTTTCTGGCCTTCAGACAAGCCAAGCTCATTCCTGCCTCAGGGCCTTTACGTTTGCTGTTCCCTCTGCCTAAAATACTCTTCCCCCACATCTTTACATGGCCAGCTCCTTTTTGCCACTGTGGCCTGGGAGAAACCTTCCTGACCACATACTTCCTCCCTCACCCTTTTATTCTTATCATAGCACTCATCAGCACTTGATAGTCCACTGTTTATTTTCTGCCTACCCCACTAGTCTATAAGCTTCACGAGAGCTTGTCTTATCACTGTATTGCAGCGCTTGGAACAGTGTCAGTGTCAAACATGTGATAGGCGTTCAATCCATGTTTGTAAGAATGAATGACTAACAGTCTAGTGTAGAAGATAGATGCTAAATTTCAAGAGTGACAGCTTCAAAGACAACTACCACTTAAGTGCAATTTACTGTGTGTCAGACTTTGCATATATGAACTCATTTAATCTTAGTAATCTCACAAACTACTCTGTAATTATCTCCACTTTACAGATGAGAAAAGTGAAGCCCAGCAAGGTTTACTAACTTTCCCACAGCTAATAGGTGGTAGAGCAACTTGAACGGTAGCCTTGTAGTGATTATATAGCAGCACCGGAGTGACAACAGGGGACCCAGTTCAGACTGTGGGTTCAAGGGCTACTTCTTATAGAGCCTCACAAATATTCTCTAAGGTGGGTATTATTATATCCCCACTTTATGGGTGAGGAAACCGAGGCTAATGGGTTTAAGGGACTCATCCAGGACTATGCCGCTAAGAAGTAAGAGAGCCAGGACTTGAGCCAAAGCCCAGAGGGCTGTGCCTTCTGCCATGCAGACTGTACCCCAGGCAGCATCAGGCTGGGGGCTCCAGAGGCCTAGGAACAAGGACTTCTTTTTGTCTGCCCTCTCTTTGGCAGCTCCTGGGTCCCGTGTGCACTCCTTCCCCTTCTCGCTTCACAGGCCATCCTGTCCCTGCAGTCCGTTTCCAAACTGCTGCCCTGATTCAGGTCTCTCTCCATGTATGGCCAAGGAGTTCAGGTCCTGGGGTAAAATGCTGCCAGTGCCTTGTGTGTGCTGGAAGTTCAGGGATGCAGCTACTCTGCCTGGCTCTTCAGGTGTCATGGGGAAGTGGCCGACAGCTCACACAGGCAGTGTGCTCCCCTCTTCTGCCAGCTCAAAAGGTCCTGAGAGCTCAGTCAGGCTTGAGGAATGGGGTGTTGGCAGCCACTAACATGCCAGCCAGACAGAGGGGGCACGTGCTCCTGGCATGGCAGCACCAGCTGTTTCCCTTTTCGCCTAGGCCAGGAGAAAGGAGGTCTCAAAGTGCACTGCCCGGCACCTCCCTGGTGCCTGGGCGCTGCCAGCAAGGAGGGGGGTGCTCCCTTACTGTCCACGACATGTTTGGGTCCACAGTTTTGTAGAGTTTAATCCCTCCTCAATGCAAAAACAAAGGTAGCAGTTGTCATAGTATTGAAGAAAAATGTTTTATTTATAGAGGGACTATGTGATTTAATTTTATATGTGTGCCTATGCCTATGTCTTTCTCCATTTTCGTCCTAGGCATGTCTCTATTCTTAACTATGTGACTAAATAACAACCTTTTCGTTTTGGAGAAAGAAAATACAACTTGTTTGAATGAGATTGCATCATGTTTACATGGTGGTATAGTGGAAAGAAGGCACTTTCTTGTTAAATTTAAACTCTATTCTCAGTTTCCTCTTCTGTCAAATGGGGATAATCATACCTATATCACATTATTATTTGCAGATTAAATGAGCAATAGTGGTAGACTGTAATGCCTTCCACAGTGGCCATGCATTATTCATACAGAGAGATTATTTCAGGGAAAAAGATATGCCCTTCATCATTCATGGGTGATAATCCTGAGGAGAGTAAAATTCTGCTAATATAAGTTCAAATAGGGGGGAATAAGCACTCATTGGGCCCCTGCCAAATGAGAGGTAGGGTTATCTACAGATTATCTCATGGAATGTTTATATCCACCCTGTGGGTACTCTTATTTTCTGCGATTTACAAAGGAAGGAGCTGAGGCTCAGGTTGAAGGCATGACACCTCTCTTGACATCCTGGCTTTGTCTGTGTGACCACAGACAAGTTGCTTAACCTTTCTGAGCCCCAGTTTCCTCCTTGGTAAAACAGATCACTGTTTGACACCAAGAGCAGGTGGTAGGTGTGGCCAGCCATGCTCTTCCCTGGGCAGAAATACGTTGGCTGGCATGAGACGGCTTGTAGCTCTTACCCTCTTATACCATCTCTTCTGTGGAGAGCAGTCAGTTTTGTGTTAAGCTGCACCAACTTAAAATGCGCTCCCCAGTACTGCTGACAGCAGAAAACCCATGCAGCGAGAGTGAGGCCCTTGGCAATGGCCGTTTGACACAGATAACTGAGTCCTGGGAGGACAATGGGCGTGTTCTTAGCTCCCCTGCCACCCCCAACTCTGCCTAAGCACCAGGAAGTCAAGCGCCATCCCCACAAGTGGTAGAACAGTAGGAGCACACAGACTGTGATCAATAAGATGTTTGTGGGATTGAATTACCTTGATCTAATTCCATTTTTGGGTAAGCTGGATGTTCTCATCTGTACTACAGAAAACAGAAAGGCGCTTATTTCCCTGTTTGCAGATGACATTGTTATAATGTCTTAAGCTAGGAGAGCTTTGATAATAAACTGACCCAACTTAATAACAGAAAGAACGGCCGCAGATGGTGTGTGCTGAAATCAGAGTTCTCACTGGGGATTTTCAACTCTAAATGAGCAGGAATCTATAGGCTGCTCAAGGTAGGTACAAGGGGGCCACTTCACTGCAACCCATGCCATCCTGAAAATTGGAGGTGGTTTTAGTCAGTAATGACATTTAGATTTTTTTTAATGTAACGCCCAGCCTCAAATATGTAGTTAGTCAAAGTTCCATTCTGGTTCTTGTTCTCAGATTGCGGTCCCAGAACCAGCAGCAGAAGCATTACCTGGGAACTTGTTGGAAATGCAAATTCTCAGCCCCATCCCTCATCAGAAACTCTGGGGTGAGACCCAACCATTGTGTTTTAATAAGCCTCCAGGTGATTGTGATGCAAGCTAAAGCTTAAGAACCACCGCTTTCCCCTCCTTTGCGGAGCCTTTTCTTGGCATTTCCCCTATGATAATAGTCCAGGTCTGCGATCTGCCTGGGCTCTAACTGCCCTATTGGAAATTCTGTACATTCTGTCCTCAGATTTATATTTGCCAGGGAATTACATTGTTCAAAGCCATAGGTTCTCTGACCCCCTGCTATAGTTTTTTCGTGGCCAAAGTGGGTGTTTGGTTACATATGCTTGATATTTTCCAAGTTGAAGGCCTTGTAGCCACGCCCTGTGGTGCAGGACTCTGGGTCTTCAAGTGCCCATTTGTCTTTGTACAAGACTAGACCCCAGGTCCTGCTTTCAGTAGTTTCAGGCCAGCCACCGCATGCTCTCTCTGCCTTCCCTTGGGTTTGGAATGGGCCTCTCTATTTTCCTAAGAGGTAACCCTCCTGCCCCTAGTCCCTTTCCTGTTAGTTCTGAAGAGCTGGTCTGTTTTATATGTGGGCACTGCCTCGGGGCACTGATGGCATGTCTTTCTTTGCATAGCATAGGCCTCTGGAAAGCAGTGGAGGCAAATCTGTGTCCCATCCATGGCAAGTGCCAGGCTTGTCTACCCGGCACTGTTCGTCCTAATCTCACTTGGTTTTACATTCTCCTTCTTCTGTTGTTTCCCCTTTGTGTTTATGTTCTCAACTGCAGACTTAATTTTTAGTTCATCTTATCTTGTTTGCTGACTGTCTTGATTAATTTTAGAAGGGGACAGTTTCAATGAATAAAACTGAATACCTTTTATTATGAGATACAATGGACATGAAACAATTAACGTTTAGCAAGTGATGTCTTTTAAGCGGCCGTGGACACCTGGGCCTGTCTTATTCCAAATCCCCTGCTCCCTCATGTTATCATTTGGGCAGGGCTTCAGTTAAAACTCTTTTTTAAACCGCAAAACCAACACTACTGGGAATTCAGGATGAGTTAGACAGCCACGGGAAGGAGATTTAGGCACACTGGACATAAGGCAGGTGTGAAGTCTTTCTCCTCCAATATATTCATAAATCAACAACTCCAAAAGTGGAGTAATGAAAACTGCGGCATGAATAATCTCCTCATGAGGCTATAGATGCCCTAGAAACACTCAAACTGAATAAACTGATTACCAAGCAGTGGTGGATACTCTGTGATTCTGTTATTGTTTGAGTGATATACTTTCCTTAGTTTATTTTGTAATTTGAAGTACTTTTTAAAAAAATGTAGTTAAAAAATAGCCATGCAAGGTTTTCATAGATACACCTGCTTCTGAATGAACTATATCCCAAGTTGCCTTGGATAGCGTTCTCAGTGAAGTCTGATTTAGCCTTGTGGCAGGTGGAAACCCCTACCCCCAATCCTCCTGCAGATGCAAAAGGGGAAATAGGCGACTTATATCCACCATTTATTGAATATCTACTATTTGCCAGCCAGGCACTGTGCCAGGCACTAAATAAACATTTTACTTTTTCTCTAAGTCTAGGGAAGGCAGGCTTAAAATTTTCCATCGTGTGGTGCTAGGTGTTAACCCCATCTCTCACTTGGATAAGAATTTGAAATATGCTTGAACTTTTTAAAATTTGAGTTTGAAAATGGGTGCTGAGCTGAACTTATATAAAGTGGGACTTTATTATTGGTCTTGCAGAATCCCCACTAATTAAGAATCAAGTGCAGTAACGGATATAAAAGCACTTTGTACTATTACGTTTTTGTACAGTGCAAGAGACTATTATATAAATGGCATTTCAGAGGCTCAACAACTTTAAGGGCCTTTAATTAATAGGGAATCATGTTTGAGCTATTCTCTAAGGTTGGAGAATCCAGAAGTTATCTTTATTAGGTCAAGGCAATAGCTACTCTAGAAGTCTGCTGGAATTAGAGCAGCATGTGTCGGAAATGGACCTTCACATCTATGAAACACAGATAATTGGGTGGTAAAGATGGCGTATTAGCACCTTGTTATTCTCTCTTGGATCTGAGAAGTGTTTTCTTTCTAGTTCCTGGAGATCCTGCAGTGAGAAAGAAGGAAGTGAAATATGTTTATTGAGTGTTGGGCATATGACTTTCTGGATTGATGCTCTAATCATTTGTATTAATAGGAGGGGGCAAGTGCTTGACATGGACCATTTCTCCAAATTGATCTTGTCTCTTGCTGCCTAGTCCCTACTCCTTGCTCTCATCTGCCAAATATCTTCCTCTCCTCTACACTTTTTTCACCAACGTTGAGCTGTCATTGCTCAGGCCCCTCTAAACAGTGATTCTTGGTACCTGACTGATACCCCAATGTCATCCTGGTAGCTCAGTGCCCCCTCCATTGCTCAGATATTCAGGGGCCTTCTGCATCTCCATCTCTCAAGCCTTTTTCTTGGACTTATTCCAGATCCTTGAACATTTATGGGAGAAACTAGCCTAGTCTTAAAGATGTGCTAAAATGGATATCCTCATTTGGGGAAAAAATACCCCACTTGTCTAGCCCTAAGAAAAAATAAAACCTAAATCAGTCTCCTCTTGGCGCGTGTTAACATTGCAAAGTGCTGCTTGGGTACGATGATGCCCTCTTCAAGCATTTTAAGGGAAGGTGAGCTTTCAGAAAGCCTTTGTTTCCTGGTGACTTAGTGATGACTTTTCTGTGTGTTCTCCTGAATTCATTTCATCTTGAAGTAAATTTATCATCACAGGCTAATCTGGGTAAAGCATATCTCCAAGTAAGCAGTTACAGACTATGCCTAATTAATCCTTCAGCTATTGCTGAAGGCAAAGGTAAGGATGACACAGGCTCTTGGTTTCTCCTTCCTCCTGTTTTAAAACCACCCGTAGCTGGCACCAGAAGGGGGGCGGTGGAAATCATGGGTGGGGGAACATCGATCCCAATGCCGCGTTTACTACGTATGAGAAGATCTGATAGAAAATTGAGCAGGTGAGATTATGGACCAGAAGCATGGGGGTTTTCTGCAGGGTATGCATTTTCTGATCTCCTTCAATGCACACAAATCAGGAATGACTATATGGATTTTACTCTGGAATGGAGGCCTTCTTCAAATTCACGTAATTAAAGAAAAAAAAATCTTCTTGGCTTTGTTTATTTCAAACTGAGTATAATGACTGTGTGTCTTTGTTTTCTCCTTTCCCTTGCCGGCGGGCATGTAGCACGTGTGGAGTGAGAGCGAGGACTGCCTGCCTTTTTTGCAGCTAGCACAGGATTATATCTCCTCCTGCGGCAAGAAGACGCTCCATGAAGTCTTGGAAAAAGTCTTCAAGTCTTTCAGACCTGTAGGTGCCTGCTTGGCTTCTAAAGCCATCTTGTTGTCTCCAGTGATTGTGCTTTGAATGACATGGATTGTGGGGAAAGTGGGCAAAACCTGGGGTGACTAATTGTTTTTCTCTTGTCTGCCCTGTGGCTTAAAGATAGCAGCTAGTGGAGGGAGGCTGAGGGCGGAGAGGGAGGGGGAAACGGGATGCGACACAGCTGTTTGTTGCAGGGATGATGGTTATTTCTAGCATCACTTGAGTTAAGAATCTCTGATTGGGTGGGAAGCAAACAGAGCCTTTATGAGACAACTGAGTATTCTGGTTCTCATCCTGTAGACTTAAAACCAAAATGCTTGGAAGTGCTATGGAGGTTCTCTTATGATAGGAAATTGCCAGAAGGCTATACAAAGTATGTACCTCCATGTTGATGGATATGGAGAAGGAGGAAATTGGATAGTTGTTCTGTTCTTTTCTCTTTTTATGAAGTCTCTTATAGAGAGCTTGCTTTCCCCCAGCCCCCTTAGGATTTAGGAATCTGTATGTCTATGGTTAGCTGACAGTTTGTTTCATTATAGCTGAAAAACATGTAAAATGAATACTCACCCCTATTCTGAAGACTACTTCTCTCTTTATTTTAAAATTTTTTTGCGGTAAGCGGGCCTCTCACTGTTGTGGCCTCTCCCGTTGCGGAGCACAGGCTCCGGACACGCAGGCCCAGCAGCCATGGCTCACGGGCCCAGCCGCTCCGCGGTATGTGGTTTCCTCCCTGACCGGCGCACGAACCCGCGTCCCCTGCATCGGCAGGCGGACTCTCAACCACTGCGCCACCAGGGAAGCCCTCTCTCTTTATTTTTATTGGAAGAGAAAGTCAGATTACATGACCCTTGCCCCAAGTTCAGCTCCCTGCCCACCATAAATACACTACATGCTCAGTGTTATTTGCTCGAGGATTTTTCTTTTTTTTTTTTTCTTTTTTCAAATCTTTTAAAATAGTGTCTACTTCTTTCCTGGAATTTTCAAACTTGTCTTTTGTTTCTCTGCACATGGTAGGCTTCGCTGCATAAGAGACTGTCAGATATTCCAGTATTTCAAGGTTTGGGAGTCTGTTTTGTCAGCTTTTGTTACCACTGGTTCCCCGTCCTGGTATCCTGTTTCTTTGCATGTTGGATTATCTCTGCGTGCTTGAAAATTTGTATATTTGTATTTGAAAATTTATATATAGGGGTATATTGAGGCCTAAGATGATGGTACTTTCCTCCAGAGAGGATTTTTATTTGCTTCTGCCAGGGCTGGAGGGGCCCTGTCAGTCAGAGACCGCCCTCAATCAGTTTGAGACTTGTGGTTCTTAGAACTCTCCAGGTGATGGACAGTCAGGTTGCAGGCCTGGTTTATTCTGGTTCATCCTTGTTCTGAGAGCAGCCTCAGTCTGTTCAGGCTGATATTACAAAATACCATAGGCTAGGTGGCTTATAAACAAAAATTTATTTCTCATTGTTCTAGAGGCTCGAAGTCTGAGATTAGAGTGCCAGCCGATCTGGTGTCTAGTGAAGGCCAACTTCCTAGACAGATGGCCATCTTTTCACTTGAACTTCACATGGTGGAAGGAGACAGAGAGAGCCCCAGGGCCTCTTTTATAAGGGCACTAGGCCATTTATGAGGGCTCTACCTTCATGACCTAATCACCTCTCATAGGACCCACCTTCTAATACCATCACCTCGAAGGTCAGGATTTCAACATATGAATTTGGAGTGGGGGAGCACAAATACTCAGACCATAGCATAGGGGTCCTAGCCTAAAGTGACAATGGTTTATAACAGTTTGCTCCTTTGAAAGGCCCTGGGTTTGACTTTGGTCTCCCTAGCTCTTAGAGTAGGCCAAGAATGCAGTAGAAGTTTCTTCCAGGTCAGCAGATGTCCTTAGGACAAAAGCAGCTTTTTATGATAGGTTTACCTCTCTGGGTGCTAATTCTCAATATATTTAAGAAGGCATTTTTCATATTGAATCCAGATTTTTTAGTTCTCTTTGCAGGAGTTTGTCCTGATCACTATCACTTAATCCATCATTATAAAAAGTGGAATTTCAAGTGGCTTTTGTCACTTTATCTGATTTGTATCATTTGTCCAACCATTTCTTTTTGTTGTTGTTGTTTGTTAATTTTCTAAGCCTGTTTGGCTTATTCAAAATAGATTTTTGACTTAAAGATACTGGTCTATCCCACTTCCACTCATTCAGGATGTATTTACTGAGTACCCAGTAGGCACTTGGCACTCTTTACTGCCCTGTTCCTAGCAGTTGAACCAGACAGATGAAAATCTTAGACCTCACAGAGCTTGTATTCTAGTGGCAGAGAGATAAGATAAATAAGTACAATGTAAGATAAACGAGTACAACACATAATGTGTTAGTGACAAGTGCTGAGGAGAAAAAAACATGAGTCAGGGAAAGGGGGTGAGAAGTGTCAGAGGCACTGACAATTTTGATTAGGGTGGCAGGGAAGGCTTCACTGAGAAGGTCATGTGAGTAAAGCTTGAAGTGAGATGTGAGCCATGAGGAGAGCTACAGAAAGAGCTTTCCAAGTAGAGAGAACAGCAAATACGACCACAGAGCGAGAGAAAACTAGTGTTCAGAGAACGAGGAGGGACTGGTACGGCCTGAGTTGGGGGGGAGGGGAGGAACATCGAGAGGAACCTCAGGGGCTTGCAGGTCACAGAAGGACTTGGGCTTTTACTCCTGTGTGCTGGGGAGCCGCTGGAGGGGTTTAAGCTCAAGAGGGATCTGCTGAGTAGAGAACAGGCTGTGGGGGGGTGGGGGTGGGAGCAGGGAGTGCAGTGAGGAGGCTGTTGCTTTCATCCAGGCGAGGCCATCGGTCTTGGACCAGGATGGTCACAGTGAAGGTGGAAGAAAGGGGCTGGATTCTGAAGATGCCTTGAAAGTAGACCCAACCGGACTTGCTGATGGGTTGGAAGTGTGGTGTGGGAAAAAGAAGACATGGTTGACTCCAGAGGTCCTCATCTACTCAGTGAAGGGAATGGTGTTCCTTGACTGAGATGGATGAGGCTGCAGGAGGAAAGTTTAGGGGTGAGACTATCAAGAGCTCGGTTATAGACATGTCAATGTTTGAAATACCTGTTAGACATCCAACTAGAGATATCAAGGCAAGCAAATTTTTTTTTTTAAATTAGTTCCCTCAAATCTTAACCCCCCCAAAACTATCTAATTAGCAAATGATACTCACTGTGCAGCTGGTTTCCTCAGGGGGCTTCCACTCATTAGCCTGCCACCTGAGTCTCTGTGTGTGGCTGTCATCTGTGGTGGCAAGCAACAGACTACCTGCAGAATGGGCTTAACTGCAGAATGTGAGCTCCCACCAGGACTTCTTTTGCCATCTTGCTTTACCAAGTCTATGGCTGTATTTCAGCAACCAGGCCGCCATATGTAAATGGAAAAAACTGCAGTCCAAAAAATCCAGATGCATAGCTAAAAGCGATTGACTTGGTTGAATACTTTCTTTCAGATCAAGCTGCTTTGTGTCATGGAGACACACAGATTTCATTTAACGCTGTTGGGCTTCCAGAGTTCATTTCTAAAGCAGAACCTTCCGCCACAGTGGGCAGGGATGATGCTCCCAAGGTGGGGCCTTTACCTGGCACGGCGCCCCCTTTGGTGGGGAAGCTTTTGCGTGCTGGGCACTCTGGCTGGGTCTTTTTGCCTGCGGGAGAGGCTGGAGGCCTTCTCAGGACTAGTGAGGGTGAAATGCACACAGGCTTTGGGTTTCTCTCAGTCAGGATGTGCCCCAGATCGGATGAGAGGGAGTGTTACAGACCCAGGTGAAGGACTGCTGGAGATCGGTGGGGAAGCTTTTACCCTCTCCCTCTCCACTGAAGAGTGTATTTCTTCCCACTGGTATTTATCTGTTTTATATAAAGGAGCTTTGGATTTAGAAATAAGACCCAGGAAAGGGACTTACTGCTGTTGTAGCTGAAAGTATTTGTTGAAGTAACACATACCCAAATGCTACAAGGTTATCACGCAGGTAAGTTTGAGCACCTCATTCCCTGAAAATTTTTGATAATCTGATCAATCTGTGTAGCTCCTTTTTGTTTATAGTTGGGGAAACCACAGAAGGAATATTTTTACCTTCATCTTAGAACAGCCTCATTCATGGCTTTGAATTCTTGTTTTACCTTGGCCAGCCCATTGCCAGCCCCTACGCTGTGTAGTCTCTCCAGAAAGATAAGGACCTTTCTGTTGACAGCCTTCTGCTGCCTTTTGGGGCATCAGTCAAGCAGGGTCAGTTAACTTTGCTGAAGCCCACGCATGCCTGCCTGCATGGGCCAAAGAATGGAGTCATCTTCTGGCCATCCTCAGCGATCCTGCCTGTAAGGCTCAGCGTGCCACAGTAGCACTCTCTACCTTTGGACATTCCAGTTTTGTAGGCTGTGTGCTTTTCCTCCCCTTTCTGTTTGCCTTCCCCCCCACTGAAACAATCAATATCACAAAGTCCATGCCCTACCAAAGAAATCTGTTGTTCGATTTGACAAGAAAAAAATAATTATTCTTTTTCTTATTCACCATGTTACTCCTCCTCTTTTTTCTCTATCTCTTCATCACATGATCAACAAAATGTATGATCATCTGCTATTTGCCAAAGCACCGCTTTGGAGAGTAAGAGGCAGGGCAGTGTGCCTAGCCCTTGTGCTCAAGGAGCTGGCTTTCTGGTAGGAGACAGAGCCACAGAAACGTACAGAGAAACCCCAGGTTACAAAATTGAGCATTTATTTTGGTCTAGACACTCTGCTAGATACAGTGCAAAGGAGTTCCATTCCCTGCTCTGCTTACTCCGATCTGCTGGTTCTCTGGGGAAGTGTTTCCTGAGAGGATGTCAGTGAGTGTGCACTGACCGCAGGGTGTTGGTTGTGGTCCCTTTACCTAGTTATGCAGAATCGGGTTACTGCAGTGATGAGGAACCCAAGCTCTGGGGGCAGGCTGCCTGGATTCAAATCCCAGTTCTGTCATTTGC